CACCCCCACAGAGCCTCCACACCCCACGCTCACACCCCCACAGAGCCGCCACACCCCATGCTCACACCCCCACAGAGCCTCTACACCCCATGATCACACCCCCATAGAGCCTCCACACCCCATGCTCACACCCCACAGAGCCGCCACACCCCATGCTCACACCCTCCACAGAGCCTCCACACCGTGCCCCCCAACAATGGACTGTGTCCCCTCAAACTGTTAGACAGATAAACACCTCCTCCCCAAAATTGCTTCTTGCCAGGGCACAGTGATGCAAAAAGTGACGAGTGAACTGGCTGTTTCCTGAACCAACATTGAGAGTCAAGCAAGTGGATGTGTTGACCGGCGGGACCAGATGCCATGTCCTCCTCTGGAGTCCATGGGGAGTCAGCTCTCTGGAACCACGGGGTCTGAGGGTGTGGAAGAGCAGACTCATCAGAGACACCCTGACAGCTGGTTACAAGGAGAGAACAGACTCTCCTTAGCCAAGGTCAGCTCCAGGCTATATTAAACAAGTCTCAATGGGTTTGGTGGCACATGCCTTTGGTGGGGGGCAGAAGCAAGTGGTAGTGATATTTTGTTTATATTTTAAAGCTTGCCTGGAGATCAGAGAGCAGAGCTAAGCCGCCAGAGGCCAGGGAGTGGTGGCACAACTTTAATCCCAGGACTCAGGAGACAGAGGCAGAGGGATCCCTGTTAGTTCAAGGCCACCCTGGGCTACGTGAGAGTGATTTGTCTAAAAGAGAAGCAGAGCTCGCACAAAGGTGATCCCAGCACTTGGAATCCCAGGCCTTAATCCCAGCACTAGGCAGGCGGAGGCAGGAGTGATGTGATTGGATGGAGAGAGGAATATAAGGTAGGAGGAGACAGGAACTCAGGGTAGTCTGAGGTTTGGTGGAGACAGTTGCAGTCAGAGGATGAAGTCTGAGGAGACAGTCTGAGGACAGAATCGCCCCTTGGGTCTGAGCTTGGGTAGAGGTAAAAGTTCTCTCTAGTGGCTGCCTGCTTTCACCCCCTAATATCTAATATCTGACTCTGGGTTTTTATTAAGACCAACTAGAATTTGTGCTACAGCAAGGTGTTCTCTGAGTTTGGGGCTAACCTGATCTACATAGCAAGCTGAGGGCTGGCTAGGGCTGGCTAGGGACAGTGAGACCCGGTCTCAAAACAAAACAAGCCCCACGTGTTTGTGATGTTTCATAAGAGTTCATTCTGTTCTTGGTGGTTGGCACGGGTCTGGCTGAGTCTCCAACCTGCTCAGTGTGCAGCTTCTAAGGACGCCCTGGGTGAAGGCCCCTAGCAGGCAGGCACGGGAATAAGTCAACTGCCATTTATACACACCTACAATCCTGGTCCCAGAGTTGCACACATTGGTCTAGTGGCTTAATGCAGTCACATGACCACACCTAAGCAGAGGGGGAGCTGGAGACAGATTTTATCTGTGGGCTTGGGAAGCAGCAGCAGCAACAGCAGCAGCAGCAGCAGCAGGGAGGGATGTTGCTGGCCTGGTCAAACAGGAGTCTACTCATACTTCCTGTGAATGCCAGGATTCTCAAGGATTCCCAGCCTGTAAAAGTATCAGCCTCATCTTACTAGCTAGGGTCACCTTGATGAAGGTTATGGTTCTCACCTCTCCCTGCCTTTAATTTCCGTCTACCTCTGAGGCTTTTGTACACTGGGGAACAATGTGAGCTGCTTGCCGGACAGAAGCAAACTAAGGGAGGGAGGGTTTATGTTAGCGCCTGGCTTTGTAGGATTAGGTCTATCGTGTTCTATTGCGATGATAAAATACCTTAACCAAGGCAATTTATAAAACAAAGTGTTTGCTTGGCAGTGGTGGCGCACACCTTCAATCCCAGCACTTAGAGCCAGAGGCAGGCGGATCTCGGTGAGTTTGAGGCCAGCCTGGTCTACAAAGCAAGTTCCAGGGCAGTCAGAGCTGGCACACAAAGAAACCCTGTCTCTAAAAACCAAAACAAACAAACAAACAAATAAATAAATAAGTGTTTCTTCAGTTTCTTATCAAAGGGTTAGAGTCCATGACCGTCATGGCAGGGAGCGTGGCAGCAGGAAGGCAGGCATGGCGCTGGATCAGTAGCTGAGAGCTCACATCTTGAACCCCAAGCACAAGGCAGAGCAGACACCAGAAATGGTATTAGTCTTTTGAAACAAGGCACTGCCCACAGTGACACACCTCTTCCAACAGTGCCACATCTCCTAACCCTCCCCAAAGAGGTCCCCCACCTGGAGGCCAAGTAGTCACACATGAACCTATGGGGGCCATCCTCCCTCAAGTCTCCAGAAGAAGGAAGGTTTTATTTGGTTTATGATTCCAGCGGGCTAAGAGTCTACCATGTCAGAAAAGCGTGGCAGCAAGCAGCAGGCATGGTGACAGAAACTGGACCCCGAGAGAACACACTGGTAATGAAAGATCCCTCGGCAAAGCCTCGCCTCCTAAACCCACTACAATGGCACCAACTGGGAACTGAGGATTCAAACATCGGAGCCTACGTGGGCCATTCTCAGTCAAACCACCACACAGCCGGCCTCCAACAAGCCCATTTGTTCTCAATAAGTCAGTTAAAAAAGACAAGTTGATATGAAGAACCGAAGCAGATGTATCCAGTATGACAGGGACAGAGATGTCTTAGTGAGGGTTCTATGGCTGTGTTAAAGCACCATGACCAAACAGCAGCTCAGGGAGGAAAGGGTCAGTTCATCTTACAACTCTCAGGACACAGCCTGTCACTGAAGGAAGCCAGGGCAGGGACTCAAAGTAGGAACCTGGAGACAGAAACTAAAGCTTTCTGGCTTCTCATGGCTTGCTCAGTCTGCTTTTTTATACTCACCAGGACAAACTGCCCAGAGGTGGCGCCACCCACAGTGAGAGGGGCCTCTCACATCAATCATTAATCAAGAAAAAAAACCCTACAGACTTGCCCATACACCAATCTTATTGAGCATTTCCTCAATTAGGAGTCCATCTTCCTGCTGGGTGGTGGTGACAGAGGCGGTGCACACCTTTAATCCCAGCACTCAGGAGGCAGAGGCTGGCGGATCTCTGTGTTCAAGGCCAGCCTGGTCATAGAGCATATTCTAGAGCAGCCAGGGCGACACAGAGAGCTAAGCGCATAACTATGTGGCCTGGTTAAGGCCTGACATGTCACTGCCCTGGCCTTAGTCTCATCCTGTCAGCTGGTTTGGCAAGCTGTACACCCCTTTCCTCAGGCGAGAACTCCCTTTGGCTCATTCCCTTTCCTTCTGCCAGCCTGAGACTCCTGCAGAACCCCCCGTTTCTTGTTTCAAATGCCTGATAGTCAGATTGAGAAACACAAATAAGTGTCTCTCGAATATTTTCATTTCTGGCAGGTCAGTTGCACCAGCATACATACCTTGTACATCAATATTGCTGCCTGGAGCATATAATCATTCATCCATTCATTCTGAGTGCTTACTATGTGTCTGGCATTGTGCTGGCTACTAAAATGAAAAAGACAGGGGAGGCCATGGAAGTGGCTCTGCTGTGTAGGCACTTGCTGTGCAAGTGTGAGGGCCACGGTTCAGTTCCCTAGATCCCATGTAAATGGCAGCTGGGTGTGATGGCCTACCTGTAATTCCAGCCTTGGAGGGCGGAGACAGGAGATCCTCAAGGCAAGCTGGCTAGAAAGCCTAGCCCTACTGGAAAACTCTGGATTCAACTGAGAGACCCTAACTTAAAGAATAAGGTAAGAAGCTGGGCAGTAGCGGCTCACACCTTTAATCTAAATATTCCGGAGGTAAAGGTAGGTGGATCTCTGTGAGTTTGAGGCCAGCCTGGTCTACAGAGTGAGTTCAAGGACTGGCTCCATAGCTACTGGGAAACCCTATTTCGAAAAATCAAAAAGAAAGGAAAAGAAGGTGGAAGAGGGCTCTTGTCATCAGCATCAGACCCACCCCCCACTAACAACGCACACATCACAGACACATGAAAAAGGTCTAAGATATTGGATCCAGCATCATGGGGTTCCCGAGACCAGGCATGTGATCTCATTTGAGTTCAGGAATGTTCCAGGTAAAGTGGTAACGGCAATAGCCATGTCACACCAAGAGGTACTCCGTTACACAGGTTACATTATCCTCCAGCCATCGAAGGCCTCAGCTCACTTAGAGGTGGGAAGCCAAGACTCCAAAAGCCTTGGGGAACCTGTCCAAAGCCACACAGCTACCAAGTCCACCAGGCCGGCTTTCACCTTGTCTCACCCAGCCTGAGTCCGAGGTCTGTTGCCTGTGCATTCATCAAGAGATTGTGTCTGGCTATGTGGTCATTCCTCCAAGTCCCAATCCCAGCCAGTGTGTCTGGAAGGGGAGTTGCCACCACTATGGCCTGCTCTGCTCTGGGAAAGTCAGCTCTGGCATGGGGGAGAGCCCAGTCCAGAGAGGGAGAGGAGCCTGACCCGGGGCTTTGGAGAGCTGAGCAGACGTGTGAGCAGAGGCTTCACTTCGGCTGTGGATCTCCCCAGGCACTGTCCATTGGAACGAGGCATCTGAGGATAGTTCTCCTTCAATATCTCCCAGCAGAAGCTTGGCAGAGGGACCGTGCCTCCACCCACTTGGTTTCCCAGCCTGTGATGGCTCCTCCATCTGGCTCATTCATTCATGTGCTCATTCAACAGGTAATTACGGAGCACTGCCAACTCTCTGCCCTACTGTGGACAAGGTAGGCACACACGAGGAAGTGCGGAATTGAAGGTGGATGAGCAGGAGGGAGGAGATGTTTGATCACAGTAGTTCTAGGGCCGTGGGGAAAGCAGAGACCAAGCCCTGAGCTAAGTTTGAGGGCAGAGATCCTACCTAGAGAGGCGGGAGTAGAGGAACATACATTAAGGAAGTTTCCCAGCGGGTGGAGCCAAGCCTTGAAGGATGGTTGGCTCCTATGTACTTTCAGCTATATAAGTGGTATGTTGCACTGATCACCATTCAGCTTCTCTGGAGACATCAGGAGAGATGGATTTAGGTCCAGAGTTCCCAGGAGAGTTTTGGCACCCAACCTCAAGTTGCAGGCATCACTTCCCACCCTCTATTGCTGCGTCTGAGATTCTCTAAATCGTTCTGATAGTACAACTTGGGCTGGGTCAGCCAACAAGCCCAAGCCTCAGGCTAGAAAGTTCAGAGGGCATGCTATTATTTAAAAAGAGAAATATTCAGGACTGGAGAGATGGCTCAGAGGTTAAGAGTACTGGGTGTTCTTCCAGAAGACCTGAGTTCAATTCCCAGCAAACACATGGTGCTTCACAACCTACTATAGTGGGATCTGAGGCCCTCTTCTGGCATGCAGGCATATATGCATGGAGAACTCTACATACATAATAAATACATAAATCTTGAGGGGGGCGTGGTAGAGGCATGAATCTGTGAGTTCAAGGTCAGCCTGGTCTATGTCTACATAATGGGAGCTCTATAACAGCCAGGACTACACAGAGAGATTCTGTCTCAAAAACAACACACACACACACAGAGAGAGAGAGAGAGAGAGAGAGAGAGAGAGAG